AAGCCACTGCCAGTTCCTATGGAGCAGAGCAGGGGAGGACATCCAGCCTTAGAGACGGTCACTGGCCTCCAGCCAATGCACCAGTCACGCCCAGGGAGTTTCACCCATAGGAACTGATTGGCAGAAAGCTTGAGCTTTCTTGAGACTCTTGCTTTGGGGCATGTGCTGCCAGTTTCCTTAGGAAGTGCTCCAGGAGATCTGTCCCAGGAAGGCTGACTTCACTTTGTGTTAGTAGAAACTCCCATCACAGTTTCCTTCCATTTATTTGTGTATTTTGGATCTGGGGCCTCATCCCAACAGTGCTCAGGGTTTACTCTTGCCTCTGTGCTCAAGGTCCCCGTCCCCACTTCCTCAGGATCCTGTGCAGTGCCCGGGATTGAGTTGGGGTTGGTCACGTGCAAGGCAAACGCCTCAACCCCTGTGCTCTCTCCAGCCTCGCCCCCATCACCCTTTGAACACAGAAAACGTCATCACCGTGGGATGCTTGGTGAAGTCTCCTGGCTGGGATTGTGTGGAATGAGGGAGAAACTACTAGAACAGTGCCCCAGATAGAGCCCCCCGCTTCCTGACATAGGCCCCATGGGAGACCTGCTCCTGACCGCCAGCAGTGCTCACTCACTCGTCCTTTGTGCGACACTGTGTCACTTTGTCTCCCCTCCCCCTGCCTCACTCTCTGCTCCTCCACCAGAAGACAGACTGGCCACCTGTCATCACGCAGACTGTGCTGTGTTGTCTCCATTCTCTCTGTGCTCATGAGACTCCTGCCATTTGCTCACAAACGGTGTTGGGGCTATTTTCGGTAAACGTTCATTGTCAAGCGTTTTTATGTCTGTCTTCCCTCGCCTGTCCCCAAAGATCAGGTTGTTCAACCCTTTTTCTGTTTTGTTCGTGGGGACACACCCAGCTGGACTCCGAGCTTACTCCTGGCTCTGTGCTCAGGGGTCAGTCCTGGTGGTGCTCAGGGGGCCCTAGGTGGTGCTGGGATTCATTCAAACCTGGGTCATACAAGCCCCTGTGCAAAACAAACCCCTGACGCCCCTGTCCTGTCCCTTCAGCCCTTTTCAATCCTTGTATAAAAAGTTTTCTTTAAGTGCAAAACCAAACCAAACACTATCCTCCCACTGTTCATCAATTTGCTCGAGCGGGCTCAGTAACGTCTCCATTTTTTTGAGACTTGTTGTTACTGTGTTTGGCATATTGAATATGCCACGGATAGCTTGCCAGGCTTTGCCGTGTGGGCGAGATACTCTCAGTAGCTTGCCAGGCTCTCCGAGAGGGGCGGAGGAATCGAACCTGGCTCGGCCAGGCTGGTTGCGTGCACGGCAAACGCCCTACCACTGTCCTATCGCTCCAGCCCTCATTTCATTGTAGATAGAACAGAAATATCTGTAGGTCAGGAACGCCCTCAAGTTGATGTCATTTCCCATCAACTTGAAGAACCTCTGTGGTCCATGAAGAGACCATTGTCACATAGATCAGGGCCTTGTCATGGGAGAGATGAAGAATCCCATAATGTAAGTAAATGAACCTGCCTCCATTGCCCAATTCATGGCGTGTAGAAGGAGAGGTTCGATCTCTATTCTGCAACTTTAACAGCTGTGCAACTTGGCCTCGTTGTACCTTGGTTTCTCCTTTTGAGCCATGAGGGTAATGTAGGGCCTGTCTGGCAGGGCAGTTGCAGGGTTTTGCATGGGTTGATGTGAGCCCATTAGAGGGATGCTGACACGGAAGCAGAGCCCAGGCAGTATCAGCCGGGGAAGGAACCTGGAGTAGCTGAGACTCTCCAGCCTTGGGTTGTGACAGCACTGATTGCCCAGGGTGCATGGTAGACGAATGTCTGCATGGAGGAGACATGCCCTGTGTTCCCTGTACATGGCTGCTGGGCAGAGAGCCAGACTCCATCCCGTGAGACGCAAGCATTTCCACGGGCAGCCCATTCCTTGCTTCCAAACGTGCGCTGGCCTCACACCCCGTTTCTCTTGGAACCTCTGTCCCTACATCACTTGTTCTGGCTTCAGCCGCCTCAGCATGGCTGACATATGTCGACTCTTTTTGCTATTGTTTGGGCCTCAGAAGCAGCGCTTGGGAAGTCTAGGGGTCCCATTGGTGGTTCTTGGCCAGCCAGGCCTTAGATTCCGCTCATGGGCTCGAGGATGTGGTGCTGTTTCCGTCCTGCAGTGCCTGGGCCACCCTGATGGTGCCAGAGGTCTCCAGGGTTGCACCCACAGCTCTGCACCCTCACCTCCTAAGGCTCATGAGCACTGCGTAGGACTAAAAATTGATCCCAGGTGTAAGTGTCCCAACCAGTCTGCTTTCTTTCTCCCAGCCCGGCTCTTTACATTTTTAATTATAAATGTTGTCAGGGCACTTGGATGTACTCAGTGATTTAAAAATGGCCTCGCTCCGAATCACAGAATGCTCAGGAATGTCCTTGCAGAATGCCTTGCATGAAACTCAGTTTCCCTTTTTGGGGGTTCTCTTCCTCACCACCTGCTCCAGAATCTGTCCCTTCCAGGGTTTATCGGCTGGTAGACAGACTTCTCTGAAAGAATGTTTTCAGAGGTTGAAGACATAAAGGTTAGGTGTTTGCCTCGAATGCACTCAGCCCAGGTTCAATTTCTGGTACCCTGTGGGGTCCCTCAGCACTGCCAGGTGTGATCACTGAGCTCAGAGCCAGGAGTAAGCCCTGAGTACTGTCAGATGTGACCCAAAACAAACAAACAAACAAAAAACCACCAACAATAACAAAATATTTTCAGATCACTGTGCCCTGAAGAGAAGAATTTATTATTATTTTTTTAATGAATCACCTTGAGATATAGTTGCAAAGCTTTCATGATTGAGGTTCAGTCATACAATGATGGAACACCCATCCCTCCACCAGTAATGTCCCCAGTATTCCTCCTGCCATTTGCTTATAATTGGATGGACATGAAGAGTATCATACTAAGTGAAATGAATCAGAAAGAGAGGAACAGAAATAGAATGACTGCACTCAAGAGAAGGATTTTTGACTAACACTAGGTCTTGGGATCCAGGGCAGCAGAAATTCCTCTCTTGTGGTTGTGTTGTGTCAGGGGCAGTGGTAGTAAGAACCCCCATGGGGGCATGGTAGGATTCCTGAGCACTCATCTGTCCTGAGGACCAGGACTGGTCCAGTTCAGCTGCTCTGCAGAAGGACTCTCAAATTGCACGTGGCCAGTGGCAGTGTGGCAGCGGAGGGCCACATCTGTGTCTCGGGCCATGCTGAAGAGAGCACCATTCCAGCGTGCAGAATTTTCTAGAGCCACCTGCTCCCCAGGAGTTCAGCAGCGCCCATAAGCACTGTGGGCTGGGGCTGTTTGGTTTCCTGGGTGCACCAGAGATGAGCTCTTTAGGCCGTGGGGGGCAGAGGGGGGTGGAGGCAGCTGACGCATCCAGTTTCTCTTCAGTGAGTGAGTACGGGGTGTGATGTGTGGCGGTCACTAATGAACAGAGGAGGGCATCCGCAGGTGAGTACAGAGGAGTGTCAGCCATCATTTCTTCCTGCTCCCACCCCTGTCACTGCAGCAGTGTTCTTCGTTGGGCCACTGACTACCCATTCCTCGTACAAGACCTGTCAGACAGAGCCAAGAAATAAGATCCTAACCTTGGTCAAATTGCAGTGACATAACTGCAACACAGATGCAGAGGTTCTAGTGCATCAGAACTGATGCAGAGATCTTTGAGTATATTTATTATATCCTCCAAACATATCAACTTTCTCGTTTTACAGATGAGGGGGAAACTGAGGCACGCAACTCTTATTAATCGAAAGACTCCAAATCCAGGAACGAAAACTCAGCAGATCCAGGGTTTAATTTTATATGATCTAGTCCCCAAATATCTACCGTTGCCAATTGTACCAATTTCATTTATACAGAAGAAAAGAGAGAGCATTGATACCTGTTCTTGCTAGGGGAAGGACTATGGTCATGTTACACAAACTGAAGGCAGAAAGTATGAGTAGAGCTAAGATAACAATGAAGAGATCACATCAGCTGGGAGATGTCATCGTCTTCAGTGTTTCTGTCCCTTATAACAGAGTCATAAACTAAAAACATACGAACAGAACCAAAGGGAGAAGCAGACAAGTCACTACAGCTCTAGTATTTAACACATCTCCCTCCGTAAAGAGTAGAACAGCAAACAGAATAGCAAGAATGCTGAAGGTTTGAATCGCCAAATTAGTTGACTTTACCTGTGTTAACAGAACATCATTTCAGCAGCCTCCAAGTGTACCTTTGACATCCACGTAACCAACAAGCCAGCCCTTATAAGCTAAGATTAAGCAGTTTCCGAAGGATTTGAAAATCAGAGCCTGTTCTCTGACCGCAGTAGAATTATTTAGAAATTAATCATGAAAAGATACCTTTAAAAGAATATATATATATAATATTATGCCAATTCCTGACTGACCCAAAATCCAAAAAAGAAATCACCATAAAAGTTAGTCACTGTCTTCAGTGAAGCACTACTAAAATTGTAATGTATCAAATTGTGGGATGTTCAGCCCCAAGAGAACTTCTATTTCAAAACTTTGGTTTTGAAATAGAAAAAAAATCTGAATTTTCATAATTCAAGCGTCCATCGCAAGAAGCTAAAAAAGAAATCAGCAAATTAAACCTGAAGAAAGCGGAAGGGAATCAATACAGAGGCTGAGTTTAGTGAAATAGAAAATTACAGGAAATCAATCAAGGAAATCAACAGAACCCAAATCGTTCTTTGGCACGATCAGCTGCAGTTCAGTGTCATGGAAGTTTAGCACTTCAGTTTCTTATCTTCCTCTTCCTGCCCTGCCTGCTTACTGAATTTCAAGATAGGAAATTGGCCCCAGACTGATTTTTTTAAGCCAGAGCTCCACCCACCAAAATGCCTGATATCCTGATCAATATTAGTTTGTCGATTCCTTTTTGACTTTTGAGTCTCTGCAAATTCTTTTCTAACTGTTCTCCTGTCTCTGTTTGTTCCATGCTAAGCAGATGGCCCAGAAATTAGCCAAAAGCAGGAAGAAGGTGCAGTAAAAACGATTTCATCAGCTTGGTGTTATGCCTGTTCTTTTCATTTATTTACATTCTGCCTTTTTATGATTTCGTGTTTTTGTTTTCTGCATCCAGCAAGTTTTTGTTCCGATTTCTTTTTGAACCGCCCCATAAGCCAACGTTTTCCAAAACTCAGTTGCCCACCCTGGCCGTTTTTCTGTTGCTCATGAGTCATTTCACTGCAGAGGAATGGCAGGGAGCAGATTGGAGATGCTACATGAACCATCCAGGAGTGTGGAAGTCCCCCCACCTGTTTCAGGAGCAGTGACACTGCAGGGACCTGGGTTAGCTTATTCACAGACATGACTGATTTTCTGGATTGTCAGATTGCTGGATGCAAAAAAGAAAACTCGCTAATAACCACGTGTACGCGGAGTTAAGTCCTGAGTAAATCAGACGGGCGTGCTTTTTAGGGTTGTAAAGCTTCTAGGCGCACTTATGGGCTTGCTTCCTGGGGACATGGAGGCCTCGGGGCGCTTTCTTAGTGGGTGGCTTCAGGAGGGCCTACTTGCTTCTGTGTGCTGTCGCAGAACACTGAGACCTCTTACCAGAACTGCATTCAGATGACTTCACCTCTCTGCTAACAAACGGCCCCATCGCAGAAACTCTTGACTTGCCTAAGTTTCTGGGGCAGGCGTCTGTGACCCTTGGGTCTTCCATCTCTTGGGCTCCAAAACCCATGTAGAAAACCATTCCCCAATGGAGTACATCCCACTGCAGTGAGTTAACTACTTCTGCAGGGAAAGAAGGAAGGGGTTGAGGGGGTCCCGATTCCCAGCCCTTGTGTCCTGGAGATGCTGTTCCCCATGTTTCTCTCTTTTGTGTGGTACCCCCAACCTCAGCCAGTCTAATTGCCCCCCCCCCGAGTCTGCATGGCTGTTCTGGTGACTGTGTCCACGCCTCTGTGTGTGAGCTAACCTTGCTCCCGTGTACCCGAGGCTGATTTTGAACTTCCCCTTGGTGCCTCTTTTCTTCTCAGGCTCCTGAAGGCGAGTCTCAGCCCATGACCGAGGTGGATCTCTTCATTTCTACCCAGAGAATCAAAGTGTTGAACGCCGACACGCAGGTACCAGCAGCACCCACCTTGCCCTGTGTGTGCTGCTTGGCGTCGTGGCAGTGCAGAGCCATACCACTGCCTGTGGGTGGGTGTCCCGGGGGCTGGCCCGCCTCCCTGCAGGTCAGAAGATCACGTCCGCCCACCTGTTCTGCTGGGGGTCTTGGGGAGGATCCGGTGGAGAAGACTGAGGGTGACATTTTTCCTTCAAGATCAAAGTAAGAGGCAGTTGCCTCAAACCACTGGGGATGTTGTTGTACATTTTTGTCAGAGACCAATATGAGTTGAGAGACATGCCCCAAGCCCAGGTAGGGGCATATTCACTGCCAGAAGGGTCTGTCTGCTCTGTGAGCCCCAGATCCCCCTGCACGTGGACCCAGAGGATGGGGGGGGGTAGTAGGGGACAGGATCTTCTCTTCAGGGTCAGTAGATGCACTACTAGAATCGCCTCCTTCCTCCTTCTGGGCCCAGGAGACGATGATGGACCACCCTCTGAGGACCATCTCCTACATCGCCGACATCGGCAACATCGTGGTGCTGATGGCCCGCCGGCGCATGCCACGTTCCAACTCCCAGGAGAACGTGGAGGCGTCGCACCCGTCCCAGGACAGCAAGAGGCAGTACAAGATGATCTGCCATGTGTTCGAGTCTGAGGATGTAAGGGCTATTCCCCTTGCCTCCCTCTGCTGTCCTGAGTCCCTGGGGTGTGTGTATGTGTGTGTGTGTGTGTGTGTGGGTGGGTGTGTGTGGGTGTGTGTGTTTGTGTGTGTGTTGGGGGCACAGGGGGCTGGAGTCTCCATCTCTCAGAACCTGAAAAGGTCCCCTTGTGCATGAAATGAGTGTTTGTTGAGCACACCCTGTGCTGTCCTAGTGCCCAGGTCATCAGTGAGCTGAGTCATTTAGATGAACATCTTGAGGGTGGCAGGGATGGATAGAACATGAAAACAGGAGTTGTCCTTAATAGACATTAGGAAGTGGGACATTAGGGCTGGAGCGATAGCACAACAGTAGGGCATTTGCCTTGCATGCAGCCAACTGGCCGACCTGAGTTCGATTCCTCTGCCCCTCTCGGAGAGCCCGGCAAGCTACCGAGAGTATCTCGCCCACACGGCAGGGCCTGGCAAGCTCCCCGTGATGTATTCGATATGCCAAACACAGTAACAACACAGTCTCCAATGGAGACGTTACTGGGCCCACTCGAGCAAATCGATGATCAACGGGAGAGCCTTTGCTTTTACTTTACTTTAGGAAGTGGGAAGTACAACAGGAGAAAGTAAAATGGAAATGAAAAGGTTTAAAGGGGTGATGCCTTGATCACCCTTGGCCCCAAAGTATAGGGAGGTGAGGGAAAGATAGAATGTGAAGGGAGGGAGGAGAGATCAGTGAGAAGCAATAGGAGGTAGGGGCCAAGGGGACTCAGGTACTTTAGTGGGGTTACGGAATCATAGAGATAAATATCCAAACCATAGGGTTAACAACACTGAAATCATGAGACCCAGATTTAACAACTGAACATCAAAAGGTGCCCGTCAGGAAGGCAGACTGGAACTGGAGGCGGGGATGGGGTAGGAGAAGGAACCCAGGAACACTGGTGGAGGGATCAGTGTTGGAGCATTGTATATCTAAAAACCAACTAGGAACAACTTTTTAATAAAATATGAAAAAGTAAAAGTAAAACGAGGTTAGAGGATAGAGCACAGATGCCCAAACTTACATGGTTTCATCCCACCCTTTCGGAAAAAAAAAAAATCAGTGCCACTCCCTTACAAATTTTCTTTCCTTTTCAAAAAAAAATTTTTTATTTTTTTGCTTTTTGGGTCACACCCAGCGATGCACAGGGGTTCCTCCTGGCTCTGCACTCAGGAGTTACTCCTGGAGGTGCTCAGGGGACCATATGGGATGCTGGGAACTGAACCCGGGTCAGCGGCGTGCAAGGCAAATGCTCTACCCGCTGTGCTATCGCTCCAGCCCCTCTTTTTCAAATTTTTTAAATTAAAATAATTTATTGCAAAGTGGTAAGATATAATGAATATACAGTGTGGTGTGCTTTTACTTTTATTCCCCCTTGGGTTTTTTTTTTGGGGGGGTGCCATTCCCAGCAGTGCTCGGGTCTTACTTCTGGTTTCGTGCTCAGAGATCACTCCTGGTGGTGCTCAGGGGACCATATGTGGTACCAAGGATTCAACCCGGATAAGCTGTGTGCAAGGCCAGTGCTTTCCCCACTCTATGATTTCTCCAGCCTGGAAGTCTCCCCTTTTGGAAAAAAAATGTTCACAAAATACTCAAAGCATTTTACTCTAAAAGTAGCACAGAGGTGAAATGAAGGGAAGGCAGGTGGGGATAGAATTGTACTGAGTACAAGATTTAATATGCCAGTGCTTGGGCCAGCCATTCCAGAAGGAATGATGGAAGCATCCGACGTTTACTTTCATCAGTAAGTTTGGGTACGAGAACACAGTCTTGAGCTGAATGTTGTAAACACTCCGTGCAAGGTGGTGAGTTGAGAGGTAGACGAGAGCACAGGTGGACAGAAGCACTAACACGCACACATACACACACGCACACACATGAGCACACGCGCTCACACACGAACACACATAGAGTCACCCTGCGAGGCAGTAGATTTGCAGTGTTGTGACTCCATACCAAGAACATTAGCAGATTCGTTCGCAGGCAGCTATTTTCCCACCTCTAGGAAAGGCCAGCCCCGGGTGAGCCCAGGCACACCTGTCTGAGCACTGCTTTCCAGGTCACACCTGGGTGCAGCTGGACACACACTGGGCCCCTGGGCAGCCAAGGAAGAATCCAGCCAAATTTAAGAGGACACGAACCTCAGAGAGCAGCACAAAGAAACAGCCAGAAAATAGCCAGTTAGAGGGACTGGAAAGCTAGAACAGCGTAGAAACCAAGTGTCCCGCACCAGGCTGACCTGGGTTGGATCCCTAGTACCCCGCATGGCCCCCAGAGCAGCATCAGGAGTTATCCCTGAGCACAGAGCCAGGAGTAAACCCAAAGCACCATCATGTGTGGCCCCCAAACCAAATTAGTTTCTTTAAAAAGAGCTGATCCTGGACTCAGAGGACACAGCCTTTCTGTGTGCACAGATGCCCGGGCATAAGTTGAAAATTGTGCAGGAAATAGAATGACTTCGTGTCATATTGTTGGACTCGCCTTGCTTGGCAGGAAGCCCTGCACCTCCATGCCCCATGCCAGTGATTCCCTAGTGCTGAGTCTGAAAATGGTCTCTAGAGAGCAGGAGCGCCCGTGGAGAACACCAGGCTGCTGCCCAACTGGCCCTGAAGGGGCCCCGCCATCTGTCTGTCCATCCTGCTGACCCTCGCACTCTGTGTCCAGGCCCAGCTGATCGCACAGTCCATCGGCCAGGCATTTAGCGTGGCGTACCAGGAGTTCCTCAGGGCCAATGGCATCAACCCCGAAGATCTCAGCCAGAAGGAGTACAGTGACCTGCTCAACACCCAGGACATGTACAACGACGACCTGATCCACTTCTCCAAGTCAGAGAACTGCAAAGATGTGAGTGTGCAGAGCTTCACAGGCCGCTGTCCCCAAGGACAGGATTTTAATGTGTTTTTTGGGGATTGCAGTTCAGGGAACATGTTGACACAAGCACCTAAGGTCGTGTGTTGTGGGGTTTGTTTTTGTTTGGGGGCTACGTCCAGTTATGCTCAGGACTTACTCCTGGCTCTGCACTCAGGAATCACTCCTGGGGGCACTCAGGGGCCCGGGTCTCAGACCTAGGTCAGTTGCGTGCAAGCTGCGTGCACCATCACTGGCAAATATTTCTTCACGTCAATAGACACTTATGTGCTCCAATACTTAGCACAGGGCAGCTGTGGCCTGATGAAACCATTCCCAACCCAGGGCCTCTCCTCTGGGCCACTCAAACTCCCTGCTGGAACCTTCCCTGCCAACCCCCATCCTGGGTCGCAGCATCCCGTTCACATGTGGATGCCTTTACCCCCAGTATGTTAGAAATTGTCCTTACTTAGAAATGAATCTTGTTTTTCTTTTATCCAGTGCAGGGAACCAGCCCCAGGCCTCATGCACACAAGGCGTGTGCTTCATTCATCACTGAGATACACTGAGCTCTGGGCCCCACAGGGCCCACAAACGCTCCATCTCCCAAGCTCCACTTCTGTCTTCCTATGAATGCACAGAGATCTCACGGTGGCGCTACCCTGAGCATCTGTTTTTTTTCCCCCTTCATCTATGCTGGCATAGAAATGTTTCTCTTGCATATTTACTTTCAACTCAAGAATCTGAGTATTAGAATGTGTAAAGCACCATATAATTTGGTGAGGGTGAGTGTGTGTGTGTGTGTGTGTGTGTGTGTGTGTGTGTGTGTGAACTTATGCATAGAATCTGGAAGCGCATTCTGGAAGCCAGAACGTGCCACCAAAACTTCCACCCACACAGCTTCTTCCCTTCTGCACTGAGGGACAAGAGGAGGAAGTAAATACATAAATAGATAAATAGCTCAAAAGCCTGGTTCCCCTCATGGTGGCATTGTCAAGCCTGCTGCTGTGAAATTATATCTGCACAAAAGGGCAGGAGTCCCTGTTGTCATTCCTTAACCATGGACGAAGGAGAAGACAGGCCTAGCCCAGGTCTGGAGCATCAGGGAAATAGTCAGGACAGGGGAGAGATGGGAAGACACTTTGATTTCTAGGCCTCACGCCCAAAGAGTGCAGATTCGGACGTTCTTCTAAGTGTCTTTCTCCCGCCAGGTCTTCATCGAGAAACAGAAGGGGGAAATCCTGGGCGTGGTGATCGTGGAGTCAGGCTGGGGGTCCATCCTGCCCACCGTGATCATCGCCAACATGATGCACGGCGGGCCTGCCGAGAAGTCGGGAAAACTCAACATCGGGGACCAGATCATGTCCATCAACGGCACCAGCCTAGTGGGCCTGCCGCTGTCCACCTGCCAGAGCATTATTAAGGTATGTGGGAGTGGGGGAGACCAGCTCCTCAGGTTGCCCTGCGATGACACTGAGGTTGACTGTGGTTTCTCACTGATATTCATGGGCAGACTCGGTGCCATGCAGAGAAGGCTGCCACATACTCATTGCCACGTATAGTGGAGGAAGCAGATGCAGAAGACTGGCTCTGGGGTTGCTTCTACCAGGCAACTCAGAGCTTCCCTGAGATCATTTTCACTTGAGGGGTGTTGGGCTCAACAGTGTTGGGCTCCGGGAACCACACCCTCCACTCCTGAACCCTCCCAGGCATCTCTGCTCCATTGCCACGGTCCTTCCTCCCAAGCCCAGTGCTTTCTCCCCTCAGCCCCATAATCCAGACACCCCCTTCCAAGTGGTTGACAGTGCTCAGCTGATGTGCCAGCCCTTGGGTAAGTCCCAGAGAGGCTCTCAATCAAGAACACCTTTCCCCCTTAGAGCAATCTTCGTTGAGTCAGGGAGGTTATCTTAGCCCATGTTGGTCACCGCACACACCAGCGCCATTGAGGGGAGGAAACTGGGGTGTAGCCTGAGCAGGATTGTTCCCTCCACTCCAGCTGATGATTTTGCATGAAGCTAAGAAGAACTGCTTAAAGAAAAGCCCATGATGAAAAGAAATTAGACGTTCTTCTTAGAAATGAGGCATCACTGTGCCATCTGCACTGGCCTATACAGTCTATACAGTCCATCCCTGGCTGTGCTCAGGGCTGACTATGGCTCTGTGCTCACAGATCACTCCTGGTGGTGCTTGGGGGATCATTAAGGGCTCTGGAGATTAAACTGGGGTCAGTTACATGCCAGGCAAGCATCCTACCTGCTGTACTACCTCTCCAGCCCTCCATAAGCAATCTTTAGGACACATTGGAGCCTGCTGACTACCTAGACGTCAGCTCGAATATACTCCACAACCTCTACCATGGCTGTAGACCTCACGCGCTCTGTACCCAGCTGTGTCACTGCAGGCAGGGTTGCTGGGATCTTGTCACTGTTTCCTCCAGGTTTCCAGAAAAAAAATTGTGGGCTTGAACATCACTCTGTGTGTATGTGTGTGTGTATGTGTGTGTGCGTGCATGCATGTGTGTGTGTATATTGGGGATATGTGTGGATGAGAATTCATTTAGTAGTTACTCAACACACACATTCAAACACACAGAGACACACAGAGTTTTCTCTAAACAAAAGAAAATCATAAAACCAACATGCCTTGAGGGGCTGGAGCAACAGCACAGCAGGTAGGGCATTTGCCTTGCATGCGGCCGACCCGGGTCCTATTCCCAGCACCCCATATGGTCCCCTGAGCACCGTCAGTGGTAATTCCTGAGTGCAGAGCCCTGTGCATCTCTGGGTATGATCCAAAAAGCAAAAAAAAAAAAAAAAAGAAAAAAACAACATGTTTGTCCACAGACCGGGGCTGGGCGGTAAAGGGGTGTGTGTGTGTGTGTGTGTGTGTGTGTGTGTGTATGTGTGTGTGTGTGTAGAGCATAAAAGTGGGTACCTCACTTTAATGAAATAGATCAAACTTCATTTCCTCTGAGATTCTCACTTGCAGAAAGAGTCATCTTTGATTTCATCTAATTTCTTTTTTTTTTTTTTTGCTTTTTGGGTCACACCTGGCATTGCACAGGGGTTGCTCCTGGCTCGTGGACTCAGGAATTACTCCTCCCCGTGTTCAGAGGACCATATGACCATATGGGATGCTGGGAATCGAACCCGGGTCGACCGTGTGCAAGGCAAACACCCTACCCACAGTGCTATCGCTCCAGCCCCATGATTTCCCCTAATTTTTTGGTTACATTTTGCTTACACTTAAGATAATTCCACCTCTTGCTTGGCATCCATTAAAGATTGGATTAAGGGCTCTACCTCGAACCAGCCAGTGTGTCCATTCAGGTGGATTTCCTTGAGCCGCTGTAGGGAGAGCTGAATGGTGGGGGCCAAACAGATGTGGGCAAGGATCTGATGGCAGATGTTCTCTGCACCCTAACCCCCAAGAGCTGCATTAAGGTGGGATGCTGTGAGCTGAGCGGGTTTTGTCCCTGGTTTCGAAGGTGGGTGGTGAAGGAGGAGACCTGGGTCAGGGCAGAAAGGCAAGTGGCTTTTGGGGCTCTGCTTATATTGCTGGGGAGGGGAAGGCCAGGCTTGACCTGGTCACGTGGGTGGGCCCAAGTGACAGTGTGCAGAGGCCAGCGTTGGGGAGACCACCCCTGGTGGTCATCTCACTCTCGCTTGCCAATGTTCACGGGGCCCCTCCTACACCAGTAAGCAAGTTCCCCTTCTCTTCCTTTCTCCTCCTCTTCCCTCTTACATCCTTCAGTTTCGGGAAGCACCCAACAGTGCTCAGGGACAATTCCTAGCTTTCTGCCCAGGTATGACCCCTGGCAGTGCTCCAGGGAATCATGTGGAGCCGGGATGTGAACCAGGGTTGCGGCCACCACAGCTGCAAGCAAGTCAAGTGCCTTTACCCACTAGGCTGCTTCTCCAGCCTTGAGTGAGCAGCTTCCAATGCCCTGTGCCCATATGATAAATGACGCAGGGTGGTGGGAACCAGCAGCATGTTAAATATGATATGCATATGATTGCCAGCATATTAAACATGAAACGGACCCCAAAGAGTGTGGTCTTGTAGAGAGGCAGAAACTGAAAGAACCGGGGACTAACAGCAGTGGTGTCCCTGTGACTCTGGAGGGTTCTTAGTTTGTGGGTTCACTTGGAGAGCCTCTGTGGCAGCTTTCTGTGGGGTGGATATTGTCCTCTCATTGTCTGAGGTAGAAAACTGAGACCCAGGGGCTAGAGTGATAGCACAGCAGTAGGGCATTTGCCTTGCACGTGGCCAACCTGGGTTCGATTCCCAGAATCCCATATGGTCCCCTGAGCACCACCAGGAGTAATTCCTGAGTGCAGAGCCAGGAGTAACCCCTGAGCATTGCCTGGTGTGACCTAAAAAGCAAAAAAAAAAAAAAAAAAAAAAACTGGGACCCAGAAAAACAGTATCAACCAAGGTCATACCAAAGTCAGACAATCTAGCTACCAGATGTGATTCCAGCGGAATGCACAGTCAAAGATTAGCTTCTAGGCCCTTGAACCCTAGGTGTATGGTTCTCAGATGAGGACAACTAGTGCCCCAGGGGACACTGGTCATTTCAGGGATAGTTTGAGTTTTTCCAACTAGGGTGGAAGAGATGTTCCTGGGACCCAATGGGCAGTGGCCAGGGATGCTGCCATATGCCCAGGGTGACCAGGAGGTCTTTTCTAACAAAGGGGCAGCCACACCCCTTATGGGCAATGCAGAGATGGGTTGGTCAGCGAGGGGTCCAGAGCTGAGATGAGCTCATGCAGGAGAAAGAGAGGGATCCCCCAGGGAAGGGAAATCAGATCAGGGAGAGTTAATCAGGTCTGGAAGCAATAGGAGGAGGTGGGGGAACTTGCCTTAGGCAGGCTGGGGTCTGCATGAGACTCTAACATGGTGTGAGGAGGCCCATCAGTACTTGCCATGCACCTTTTCTACCTCTCCCTGTCTCGCAATACCAACTTTTTTTTTTACAGTTGTAGACTTACAAATTTTTGTGCTTGGGTTTCAATTATACAATGATCAAATACCCATCCCTCCACCAGTGCCAATTTCCCACCACCACGGATCCCAGTATTCCTCCCACCCCCCATCCCCCCATCCCATCCTGCCTCTGTGGCAGGGCATTCCCTTTTGTTCTCTCTCTCCTTTTTGGTGTTGTGGTTTGCAAAAGAGGCTTTGAGTGGCAATCATGTTTGGTCTATAGTCTACTTTCCGCATGCTTCTCCCATCCTGGGAGGATCCTCCCAACACCCTTTATTTGGTGCTCCCTCCTCTATCTGAGCTCCCTTTTCTCCTAGCATGTGTGGCTGGGGAACATAAAGTAACAAAATAGGAGAGTAACACCCAAGAATGGCCGAGATTAGTACCAGGAATTTTGCTCCAGCTTCTTTTTTTGTTTTTGTTTTGTTTTAGAGTCCCACTTGGTGATACTCCTGGCTCTGCACTCAGGAATCACACCTAGCAGGCTCCGGGGACCGTAGGGGTTGCTGGGGATTGACTGTGTTCAGGAGACAAATTCCCTACCTACCCAACTGCACTATCTTTCTGTTCCTGAAAGGCCCCAGTTTCTTTAATTTAGGGGCAGTGACACCTTACTATGGGTCCCCTGACTGAAGGTAGGAGCCATGAAAAATTTGGCAAAAGCCAAAAGGCTTCAGGACATGCACAAAAATAAATTCAGACTCAACTCGGTATAAGGAATCCCAGGTATTTTAGCAGTGCTTGCTCCCTGTTTCGTTTTCTGGGTGAAAAGAGGCTGCAGGGCCGAGAACCAGCACAGTGGTCAAGCCTTGGATGTGGCTGACCCTGGTTTGAATCTCAGGCCCCACAGATGGGCCCCACGGACACTACGAGGAGTCCTTTGCGAGCACCGACTCAGGAACATTTCCCAAGCAACCAAAACAAACCCCCGTGCCATCTCTCTGGCCCCACCATAAACGTTTTATTTATATAACATTTATTTAATTAAAGAACTGTGATCGACAGAGTCATTGATAATTGGGTTGTAGGTGTACAGTGTTTTGACACCAGTCCTGCCACTGTGTCAGCTTCCCCGACAGACACCTTTCAGAGTTCTGGGGTGTAGTTTAGATCTCACGATGGCAGTGGCGTTGCGTTTGTGCTTCAGACGTGTGGCTCTGTGCAGCTGTAGGGAGATATGAAATCATGCACTTAGCTGCAGCCTGATTGGGTGATACCGGGTCGAATGAAGTTAGCCAGAAGGACAGACACACGATGATCTCACTTCTCTGTGTTCATAGAATGTAATGAGGGAGAGAGTCTTCAATTAGCCTTGACCCCAAAGTATAGGGAGGAGAAGGGAGAAAAGAGAGAGAAATCAAGGAGTGGGGAAGGAGAAGAGAAAGGGAAGTAATGGAGGAACATGGGATGGGTCAGGAATCTCACTCCACTTCTGGGCCTCTACCCCCAGGGCCAAAAAAATCATTCAAAAGGTCACATGCACACGATTATTCATTGCAGCACTCAGTACAGCAGCTGAGATAGAAATCAACCGAGGTGTCTACTGACAGGTGAAGGGATTGAAAAGATGTGGCATGGAATCCTATCCAATAAGCATTTGAGATGAATGTTTAGGAAAATGTGATATGGATTAGGAAGATATGAATGATTAGGAATGTGAGTGATTTAGGAAGACACGATTAGAATGATTAGAAAGATCTGAATGGATTAGGAAGATGTGGTGTGGAATACTTTTCAAAAGGAGGGGAGGGGGCTGGAGTGATAGCACATAGGGTAGGGCGTTTGCCTTGCATGCAGCCAACCCGAATTTGATTCCTAGCATCCCAAATGGTCCCCTGAGCACCACCAAGAGTGATTCCTGAGTGCAGAGCCAGGAGTAACTCCTGAGCATCGCTGGGTGTGATCCAAAAAGAAGGGGAAAAAAAGGAGGGGAGTGGGGGGGAAGGGAAAGGGTGGGGGGGCTTCCAGTGGAAAATCTCTGGAGCCAAGCTCCAGACAGGAAGTAGGTGTGAGGGTCTTCGAGGGAGACCCGAGGGCAGTGCTGATGCCTCCTGCAGTGAGCACAGGGCACTCCTCAGTCTGCAGAATGCACAGGAGGAGGAGGGCAGGCTCTGAATGTCGACCACTCTCTGTCTAGGCAGTTTCCTAAGGGGGAGGTGGCTTGTTTGCGGGAGTGGCTGACCTTTGCTGTCTGTGGGGTCCCTGTGGAATCAGAGCATAAAAAAGGCCAAGTGGCAATGGAAGAGCTGTTAACTGATGGGGCCAAGGCCAGCAGTGCCTTCACGGTGGTCCCCAGAACAGAAGCTCTCACCAAATCAGCCCTGTCAGCCCGGTATCCTCGTGCCAGGGACGTGCGGCTTTGTGGTTGGGCCACTGTGTGGCTGGCCCTGGGCATGGCTGGGTGGAGTCTCAGTGCTGGTTCTAGGCGGAATTGTCCATGCCTAATGGAGATCCATCATGGGACTTGTCTAGAGGGTGGCGAAGTTTGTAGCCACACACCCCCCCTTCTTAGTCCGCACCTGAGGAGTACCTCCTCTGTAGTGCTTGAACTTCACACTAGTCTTGCTTGGCTCATGGCTGCGTGGCCACCTTGGCACTGGATTGTAGCAAAAGTCGTGCTCTGCACACTTACATTTAAATGACTTTCTGCAAGATGAGGCAGGAGAAATCATACCGAGGGCCCTTGTCTTGCGCACAGCAGGCCCCGGAGGGCCCATCTCAGCATCCCATAGGGTCTCCTGGGCGTCTCCAGGAGTGACCCCTAAGCACAGAGCCAGGAGTCAGCCCTGAGCTCTGCCGGCTCCCGAACCAAAAATAAATAATCAGGGGCTGGAGCGATGGCACAGTGGGTAGGGCGTTTGCCTTGCACGCAGCCGACCCAGGTTCGATCCCCAGCATCCCATATGGTCCCCCGAGCACCGCCAGGAGTGATTCCTGAGTGCATGAGCCAGAAGTGGCCCCTGTGCATCACCGGGTGTGACCCAAAAAAAGCAATAAATAAATAAATAAATAAGTAATCAATGAGTTACCCAGGGGCTCAGGCCTCCTTGGGACGCACCGACTTGCCACTTCTCCTTCTTGCCACTTTACCGGACATCGGCCTTTTTCTGCCTCTAGAAGAAAGAGACCATGTTCCTGAGTCCTGAATCCTGGGCTGTTTCCATGGCAGCCCTTCCCAGCTCTTCTTTCCCCTCTCATCACCCCCGATGCATGAGTCGGTAGACAGAGCTTATCAGCTGCCTGCCTGTTCAGCCTGTTCAGACGCCTCCAATACTACCCTCTAGGAGATCGGTTTGGGGATTGTTTTTCTTTCCTTCACTCTCCCTGCCATGGGGGCATCATGGTTCTGCTTCTCCGTTGCCATGGAGACTCCCTGGCTTTTCCCCCACTCCACCCCTCCATATTGCTTTATCTGCTGCACCCGTCCACCCAGTGCCATGGAGGTGGGATGGCTATTTATTTCATAGGCACCTCCAATGAAGTGGCAGCTCAGAAGTACACGTTAACGGACCCCAACTATGGCTTGAGTGAGGAGGCCATGCGAAGGCAGGGTATAGGTCGGGATTCATATCATTCTAGAACTGCTTCCACCAAGAAGCGGGTCAGGCAGCTAGGGTCAGTTCACCCAGAGGAGGGACTCCTTTGGAGCAGAATGGAAGTGGATAGCATCCTCCTCCTTCTTGGAGCCATGTCATGACAAACTGCATGGTCGCACCTTTCCTTCCAGCTGGGTGGCCTTCGAGGTCAGGGGTATCCAGGACCAAGAGATCAGCTGTGGGGCTTGAGCCCGCAGCTGTGAATTCTGTATCCAGAGTAAAAAAAAATGCAAGAAGAGTACTTGCTGGAGTGATGAGTTCTTTGGAGAACGGGCTGGTTTCCCATTTGTTTCATTGTCCTGAAAGGTCCCGTAATCAAGCACACCAGGACAGAGATTTGGCGGGAAAACAAGATCTTTCTTTACACTGGCAGCCCACTGCTAGACAAAGCACCTGAAACTATCTATGGTCCAGGGACCAGGGCTTCCCAGAGCACTTACGTAGAGCATCGGTAGGACTTGTGATTTATTATCTAGCATGAACTGGGCAGTCCTATCATTGGAGTGACCCTATGGCAGCAGGTATAGCCGTGACATCAGATAAGGAGTCACCACATCAAGGGAAGTTGAGAAATAGTCAAGGTTGTTTAAGGCAGGTAAAAGGGAGCTCCCTGAAATGGGCCCGGGGCGCAGGGACGGAGTGTCTTCTGGTGCTGAGTTAACAGCATGCGCAAACCATCACACACATTACAGTTTTGCTTTGGGTGATAGAAATCTCCTGCTTCCTCCCTCTTTCCAGCCCAAGTGCCCACGTGGCCTCCCTTTCCCAGAAGGAAGAGGCATTGCCCAGACGTCGCTCCAGCCAGGCCTGCCCAGGCTGCTGATGGTCAGGTGTCCTGCTTGCTCGGGGAAGCCTGCCTTTTCGGAGTGAGCTCCCCTCACCTGGGGTGCTGCTCTGTTCTTACAGCCCCGGGGTGCCCATCTCCTCCTGACCCCTCTCTCCCACGGCAGGGTTTGAAGAACCAGGCTCGGGTCAAGCTGAACATCGTGAGGTGTCCCCCGGTGACCACTGTGCTCATCAGGAGACCAGACCTTCGCTACCAGCTGGGCTTCAGCGTCCAGAATGGAATCGTGAGTCCCTCCCTACACGCTTCTCCCCGAGTCTGTTGCAAATGAAGCCTGCTTTTGGGGGGCTCTCCTTATTGGTTGTGAGGCCATTGTTCCTGGTAAGAATCCAGTCAGGGAGAGACAGAGTCCCCCAGCTCAACCCCCAGCATCATGTGCACCCTTCCCCCCGAATCTGCCCGCACCACTAGGCACCTAGCTCTGGTGACCCCTGAGCATGGCTGGGCCCGACCAGTCCCAGGAGTGGCCCTTGTGAAAATCAGCTGTGGGCTGGAGATATGGCAGTGTACTTGCCCTGCCTGGGGGTTGGGAGGCTGGGCTCTGTGCCCAGACACACACACACACACACACACACACACACACACACAACACCATACCACACACACACCTCCCAATTTCTGTTCCATCTCTGTTTTCTATACCTATGAGCCTGGAATGCAGATAATAATAGCTTCAGTGTGGACGGGCTGGTGGTAACGGGGTGGGGGTGGATGGATGGGGGCACGCAGTGACATCACGCCCGATGTCACTGGTCACTATGACATTCCAGGCAAGCTGTAGGGACCCAGTGCTCACAGAGCTGGACCATCCTCAGAATTCAGGGTGCCCTGAGACCCAGCAGGGTGTGGGCTTCCCCGTGACAGACGTGACCGAGGGCCTCACGCGAGCTTTACAGCACGCTATTTCCTGTGAACAGAAAAGAGGGAATTGCCCAAATCCTAACCACAGGAGTGCCTCCAAGAAGAGGGTGCTGGCACTTTTCTGTCATCCTTCCACCACCCCCTGCCGAGCTCCACCCCTCCCCCTCCCCCTCCGGCCCCGTGGGAGCTGGTCCTCTTTTAGGGGGTGACTCTCCTCTGGCTCCCCAGATCTGCAGCCTCATGCGAGGAGGCATCGCCGAGAGAGGAGGGGTCCGCGTGGGCCATCGGATCATCGAGATCAACGGGCAGAGCGTGGTGGCCACCCCCCACGAGAAGATCGTCCACATCCTCTCCAATGCCGTGGGGGAGGTAGGATGGGGCCAGCGTCCCGGGAAACTGCGGGGATGGAGCCTGCCCTGCCACTGCGGGCCTGCCCGGGTGCCCTGAAAATGCCCTTTCTAGTCCTTGAACCCCCACCAAGCCCAGAACATTCTGGCTGCCACCCACCCCTGAAGGGTTCTCTCAGCACAGCTCTGGGGAACACAGGCCCAGTCCCTCTGGTGGTCAGCTGGCCATCCGTCCCAGTGGCTGTCTGCCACGGCTGACCAGGCTCTCTTGCTGTGACCGATTCATCTTTCCAAGTACATCTGGGCCATTGAAGCCTTAGATTCGAGTGTGATCCACAGATCTACCTCCAGCGGCAGCTGCCTGACTTGCGTGTGTATGTTGGGGGGCAGGGGGTGCTCACCTAGGTCCTGAGAGCTCATTAGAGCTGGGGGTCCCCTCACCTGCCCCACGAGGGAGTGGGCGTGGGAGTCCACAGACAACACAGTTAACAGAGTTCTTTGTGGACGGGGCCAGAAGGACCGTTAAGGCTCTTGCCGTGCCTGTCCCAGTTTGATATCCAAGTGGTTCCCAGAGCTCCAGCCAGGAGTGAGCCCTGAACAAACAGAGCCAGGAATACGCCCTGAGCACCCCCAGGTATGGCCCAAAGACAGTCACTGTCACTGTCCTCCCATTGTTCCTGGATTTGCTCAAGCGGGCCCAGTAACATGGTGAGACTTGCTACTATGTTTGGCATATCGAATCCGACCCAAAGAAAGAAGAAAAAAATATATATTGTGTGTGGAATAAAAGAACAGAGCAAGAGGGGCATCCAAGAAAATAAATATTACCTAGAGTCGTGGTTCCGCTTCCATCACCCCAACATTTTCTTTTTTTTGGGGGGGGGGTCACACCCTGCGGTGCTCAGGAGTTATTCCTGGCTCTGCTCTCAGGGACCTCTCCTGGCATTGCTCATGGGATGCTGGAGATAAAACCCGGGTCCGCCGTGTGCAAGTCAAGCACCACACCCGCTGTCCGGTCACGCGGGTCCCCATCGCCCCTTTCCCAAGCCCCCCCATCCCACACCGGGCCCTCCGTGGAGAGCACGGTGCAGGAGGAGGGGTTTCTGGGGCTGCCTCCCTGGCCCCCCGCCCCTGCCCTCACCCCCGCCCCCTTGTTCTTTCTGCCCCCAGATCCACATGAAGACGATGCCCGCTGCCATGTACCGGCTGCTGACGGCGCAGGAGCAGCCCGTGTACATCTGAGGCGCGCCGCAGCCGGGGCGGCATGCATGGAGGGCTGTCCTCACTCGTGGTTGTGTTTCTCGTGCTGCATCTGTGTGCCCACTGCGACATTCCCCTCTCGCGCGGGAGCTCCGAGTCCCCGCAAGAAGGAAAAGAAGAAGAAGCCGCCCGGGGACCCCGCTACGCGCGCTGCTGCGCTCAGGGTCTTGCAGGCGCTCTGCAGGCGCGGCGGCTCTTCCTCATCCCTGGGGGACGGGAAAGGGCGACCGTTCACCCGGTTGCCGCCCAGGGCCCTCCGGAAGGGCCCTTCGAAGTCCTGAGGAAGGGTGGACACTGTCCGAGGAGGGGGGGTTGGGGGATCGCCCTCCCAGAGGGGCGGAGGGCGCCCGGAGCGGGGAGGAAGCGGGTTCCCGGTGCGTCACCGACACCTGATGATGCTGGAGAGCAGGTTGGTTGCAGGGTGCAGGTAGAGGTAGGAGACCCCCGCCCCGGGGAAGCTCTGCCCTGCCCTGCCCTGCCCTGCCCTGCCCTGCCCTGCCCTGCCCTGCCGTGGTGTGCTGGGGCCCGATTGCTTCCACCCAGAGTTTCTGAGCCAACTCTATGCCTAGAGCGAGTTTTCCTTTCAACGTCTGTAAGTCTTCCAGTGTGAGTCTCTTCCTTCACCGGAGAGTGGAAAGCGGGGTGGGGGTGGGTGGGTGCGTGGGTCTGCCCTGGGCAAGGACGGTCCGGTCCAGTATCCGCACCCACACTCGGTGGGTGGCCATCGGAGGTTTCCAGCTGTTAGACCCAGGCTGCAGCGCCACCTCCCACACGGCACACACACAGACTTCCACACCTCTCCTAGCCCCCCTCATTCTTCCCCGCAACAGGCACAGCCTCTCCCCGCAGAACCCACTGACCTCGGGGAGGCCCCTCCCATGGCTCAAGAGCCCCTGGTGGTCGGTGGCGAAGCCTGGCCCTGCCAGCGCCTCCTGTTGGAAAGATACCCCTCGTGGGCTCTCACACATGCACCGCGGGCACACGCAGACACATGCATCTGTGCGAACGTGGCCTGACCCCGCTCTGAGGATCAGCTGGGGGCCTTGGGGGGTCTGTTTCCTTGGCAGAAGGCAGGACCAGCTTGCTTCTCGGCTCAGGGCCGCTCTGCAGGAGGTAGCGTTGCAAATAGGCCGTGCACCGGCGGGGATCATAACCTCAAGCGATGCCTGGGCATCCCCCAGGGTGTTCAGCAAACCGCCTCTCCCTGCCGTGGCCTCAGCCTGGGTGGTCGGTGGAGTCCATCCCCTGTCTGCATCCGGTGCCTCCCGCTGACTCGGCCGCCCAAGGCTCCACTCAGCACTCGGGGGTCTGCAGGAAGGAGGCTTCTTCTGAGCCAGTTTCCTCCTCTTCTCCGGCCAAAGAGCACTTTTTTTTTTCTTCACGTGGGTGGGGAGTGGCCCGGTTTGGTTTTTGTCTTGTCCCCTTCGTGGCGTCAGTGGAGACCGGGGGAGACTCGCTCAGCTGCCCTGTCGTGCCCATTTCGCCCTGTTCTCTGTGACCTCCTCCAGGTCTTCTGTCGTGTCTGTGGAACCAGGAGTGCGCGGTGAGCCTGTCAGCTGTCTGCATTTGCATGTCAGGTGGAGGGATCAGTGGGGAGGGCCAAGACCGGGTGTGGAAAGAGAGCAGGGGAGCCCCTCGGTTCTGTTTGGGTCAGGAAACCCAAAGGTCCTGGGGCGTTGGCATCAAGAACCTCCCGTCCGTAGTCGGAGCTCTGACAGTGAGGCTTCCCGGTTGCCTCCATGTCCCCTCTGGTGGGGTCTCCTTCTCCAGGGGATCCAAAGTGGCAGGTCAGTCCTACTGTGCATCTTTTGAGCAGCTCCTGGGGCTGATCCCCACAAACAAGCAGAGCCTGGTACCCGGCTTACCATCCCCGTGGGAGCCATTTGGCTGAGTGTCTTGGTCTTGGCATGAAACACGAGTCATGAATTGACTTTTCCGCAGCCCCAAAGAGGGAGTGAAACAGGATGGAGACCCTGTTTGTGGCCTTGGGGGAGGGGGCGTCCATGTGAGTCCCGCACACCCACCCAGAGGCCCGCCAAGGGGCACCCTGCTCCCCTCTGCAGCCCCATCACCTCCTTCCTCACCCGCTTCATCATCTCAATTCGTTTTGCCCAAAGTGGCAGGGGAAGGGACTATCCTATGTTAAACAGAAATCCTAAAATGTTTGGCAAGTGCTGGGAAAAAAAAAAAAAAAGACCCTATGGCAAACTCTCCCCTGGGAGACTGCTGTGTCTCAGGTGGTCTGTCGAGTTTTCCATTGCTTCAGAGCAGAACTGTGTGCCCCCCACCCCTCCATACCTCCGCCGTGCAGCGGGCAGGGCTGGACTCCAGTCCAGGGCCATGGGGACATGGGTTCGTTTTTTCTCGGCGCCCAGGGATGAAGGCATCGGCCCTGCCCGCTTTTCCCATCAACCCTGCAGCGACCCAATCGCTGCCTGGGCTCTCCAGGTCCCTGGCGGACAAAGCAGGGTCCGTTTTCCTTCTGACGCCCCCATCTGCGACGGGATGACTGGAACAGGGGAGACAGTACAGAGCAGCCCCGGCTAACGCTACCCCGAGCGAGAGCATCACTCTTGCTTCTCGGCGCCAGGGATGCGCTTGGGGACTTGGGGACAGAGCCTTCTTCCCTCTGTCTTCCTTCGTGGAGTGCACCCAGGCTGTGCCGGGCCCCACCCACCTTTGCCTTCTTCCCCGCGAGCATTTCAGGGAGCCACCATCAGCCTTGACTCCACGCGAGCAAGAAACCCCCCCCAGTGTCCGGCGCCTCGCGAACCCCCCTTCGCATCACCAACAGCGGGCTTGGCGGAGGCTGGAGGCCCACCACTACCAACCACCAGGGTTGGGGGGCTGGACCCCGAGCCTCTCCCCACCCCCAAGATGGGTCAGCTTTCCGAACAGTGTCCAGCCCTGCAGCACTGGCCTCCCGGAGTCCCACAGTAACCTACTACCTCCCCGGTCGCTCCTGCCAACCCGCCCGCCCTGCCCGCACCCCGCGCCCTGCCCCGGCACCCAAGGAAACACACTCACACGGAGCCTCCACCCAGTGGTGTGGCTGTTACCCATGTTTACAACCGAGAGCCACCTCGGGGGAGTCTCGGAGACTCTCCCACCGACAAGGCCCCCCGAGTGGTTGGAGCTCCGCGTGCGTCTGCTCCTTCTCTGCCGTGGGCCCCTGCACGCGCAGCGCAGATGCCCCGTTTCCCGTCCCTGCGTGGGTCCCCGTGGCGTGGATGCCCCGTTTCCTGTCCCTGCCTGGGTCCCCACGGCGTGGATGCCCCGTTTCCCATCCCTGCGTGGGTCACCGCGGCGTGGATAACCCGTTTCCCATCCCTGCGTGGGTCCCCGCGGCGTGGATGCCCGGTTCCTCGTCCCTGCGTGTGTCCCCATGGCGTGGATGCCCCGTTTCCTGTCCCTGCCTGGGTCCCCACGGCGTGGATGCCCCGTTCCTCGTCCCTGCGTGGGTCCCCACGGCGTGGATGCCCCGTTTCCTGTCCCTGCCTGGGTCCCCACAGCGTGGATGCCCCGTTTCCTATCCCTGCGTGGGTCCCCGCGGCGTGACTGCCCCGTTCCTCGTTCCTGCGTGTGTCCCCGTGGCGTGGATGCCCCGTTCCTCGTTCCTGCGTGGGTCCCCACGGTGTGAATGCCCCGTTTCCCGTCTCTGCCTGGGTCCCCACGGCGTGGATGCCCCGTTTCCCGTCCCTGCTTGCGCCCCTGCAGCGTGGGTGCCAGTTTCCCACCCTTGCGTGCGCCCACCCAGCGTGGGCGATGTGTGTTACGTCCCACCCCCTCGAGGCCATGCGTGGAGAGCGTGGAGAGGACACTTTGTGTACATACTCAGCACAGTATGACCTTGTACTATTGTCCTGTAAAGGGGCTGATATAGAGCTTATTGTAAAGCAAGCGTCGGGAGAAGTAGAGTATTGTATTTGTAACAATAGCGTTCTTTGTATACACAAAACTCGGCGATCTCTATATATATGGTTATAAATAGATATATAAATAAAAGAGATATTTGGTGAGCCTGGAATGTCGATGCCACACACCCACTGAATGTACTTCCTTGCACAGTCCGTCCGGCCGGTCCCCTGCTCCCGGGCACCACGGCGGGGTTGTGATGTATGTTAACAATGTGCCCTCCTCCCTTATTTAACTGAACGCTGATGTCTGTAAGAGTTGCTGCCACAATAAACGAGAACTTCACCTTGTCGCCCTACGAGTGTATTAGTTTGGGGGAAAGGGCTGGGTCTCCTGGGTCCCCAGAACGTGTTGCTGGGCAGAGACGCTGCCCCCAGCCCGTGAGAGACAGAAAAGAGAGAGAGACACAGAGAGAGACAGAGACACAGAGAGAGACAGAGAAGAGAGACAGAGAGAGAATGCATGCATGCTGCCCCCAGCCCAGGCAACCCAATTTTTTTTTTGCTTTTTGGGTCACACCCGGCAATGCACAGGGGTTCCTCCTGGCTCTGCACTCAGGAATTACCCCTGGAGGTGCTCAGGGGACCACATGGGATGCTGGGAATCGAACCCGGGTTGGCCTCGTGCAAGGCAAACGCCCTATCCGCTGTGCTATTGCTCCAGCCCCGGCAACCCAATTTTGGAGGGAAAGGGGTTTCCAGGGATCAAACTCGGAGCCTCACAGAAGCTCTACTGTTGAACTACCTCCTGGTCCTTCAGGTTTTTTTTTATTTTGGTTTTGGAGCTCCACTGCACAGTGCTCAGAGCTAGCTTCTGGCTCTGTGCTCAGTGATCACCCCCTGCAGTGCTCAGGACCATGCATTCAGGCTGGGGTTCCAATCCTAAGTTTGGGCTCTGTCCTGTTCGAAAGCATGCCATCTCCCTGAGCCCCACAGATGGGATCCTCACCAGCTCCCTGCAACTTCATAGCCCCCAGACACCATGCACACCCCAGGGAGGCCCCAGACTGTGAGGTGCCTATGAATGCTGGTGTCACCCCTGCACTCAGGTTGCCCAAAGCCCGAAGTCCCAATGTGGCTCTCAGAACACTGAACAGTGGTGGTAATGCTGCACACCCGAAATTCAGAAGATTCAGGGCTCAAGAGAGTTCACTGCGGTTAAGGCTCTTGTCTTGTCAACACTGATTCGATCCTGGCCC